AACAAAATGTGTTTTGTATAATTTCATGTGTGTTTCTTCTACAAGAGCGCACAATTTGTTTATTTTATATAATTCTTTCTGCTATAATAGTGTTAACATTTATATATATGCAATAAATATGTGAGTATATTATATTTACATATTGTTTCAACGTCAGAGTCCTAAAGCTAGTGGAAAACTACTCTTGAGAGCTTGCAGCCGGCTTCAGCGTAGCCCCATCGCTCGCAATTGCAATTGCAATTGCCATCGAATTTGTATTTAAATTTGAACTTGCATTTGAATTTGTCGTGGAAGGAACGCTACAATCGTGCACTTGTGCCGTAACGGTCGTATAACAGGAGCCGCAAAGTCTTACTGGATTAAAAAGCTTTTCGTATGGTAAAGGCGCCCAGAATTCAGAGCAGTCAGCACAGAAAATTTCGCCACATGATCTGAAACGAGAGATAATGGAGAATTTTTCATTTGATATTGATCGGGATCGAAATTGTTAATATACTAGTTGAAATAGACGTGTTAATTCTGTTGCTTAATCGAAAAACAATCGCAAATTGAACACAACCATATTTAGCTTTGAATACGATATGTTAATCTGAGTTTGTTACAAAATGAGCAAATATTTATCACAGCCAATCTGACATTAGTTCCGTATTTATTTGCAATTTACTTTCACTATCTTCAAATCTGACATCGTCGTCTCGTTGCGAACCAATGCTAGAAAGAATAAAGCAGCAACAAATAAAGGACCTTATGATAGCAAACTAATGATTGAGCGAAAAGCTTTGCTGATGATGAAAGTAAAGTATGGTAAAAATAGAATAATAATATAGTACATAGATAAGATAAGATATTAGTTACGAACTGCTGCCAGATTGATTGCTTAGAAATGGCTGTTGGCCCATACAGTAAGAGTAAGTGTGTGTGTGTGTGTGGCTAAGGTAACTAAGAGATGTTATGAACACAATACAGATACAGGTACAGGACAAATTAAAAAGAATATGTTGAAATGCGCACCGACAATGATGTTTTCTTCGTCCAAGCCAGAACTCAATTTGACAATTCGAGCAACGCGAAACGGCATGATCGGGCACCCAGAGGACACTGGAAGCCTTTTTCTCTTGTATCGTGGATGTGGCATACGATGATGGACCACTACGCTCTTCTACGGCTTCCCATGAACATGTTGATGCATTTTCAACAATATCCGATCCGTTTTCCTAAAGAAATGTAAATAATTAGACCAAACAACGAAAAACAACACAAACCATTCACATGACAATTTCGTTGCCCCGAATTCAACATTTAAATCTAAAGGGTTTAGCCTAGATTTATGCAATTCTATATTATATATAGTATAGTATGTCTCGAAACTATCCAGCCAGAGTTGAACTGATGACATGACATGTGGTAAGTGTGCAGATATGGCTGGATATATTCATCTCATTTTGTGTTCAGTTTAGGATAAACATATGAACAAATTTACAAACATTTGGCAATCCATAATATTGTTTTTCTTTATGTTTGCAAATTTGTTGTGCGTAATTCATATGGAATTTATATAACATTTAATGACATAATTACATGCTCCACATTTGTCGATACGACGCTGTTGCAGCTCGGACAACCTTTTTGCAGCAGCGCCAATCGCATTCCGTGAATTTCGCGCAAAAGGACTTCCTCGCGTAGCTGGAGCAATAGAAATAATATTTAGATTAGCGATTTGCATTACATTCAAGTGCCATAGAAATATATATATATGAGAACCTTGTGCTCTTGAACGATCTGATGTAGGCGTATGTTCTGTTCACTTAAGCCATGGGACAGGCCATCTGGGCAGGATATTGTAAACTGTGTTCGCTCTTGCGAGCCTTGCGGGGTCGGAGGCAATGATATAAGTCCAGACGCCGGGAAGTTAAGTGCACTGCAATATATATATATATAGAAATGCATTAATTGTCTTTATTTAATGAGTTTTCATTTCCGATATTTACCTAACGTTTTCTGCATATTTCGAATGCGTATGCTCCCGATTGAGATTCGACCAGAGCGTGTTTCTTCTACTTGCCGCCGACTCATCAAAGGGCGCAAACATATTATGCGTTTGAGAATTGCATCGGTGATGCTCAGGCGATAGCGGCAGGGATTCGCTGGTGTTGCTGCCATTGTTTAAGGTAACTGTTCCATTTAAAATATCTTTTGTTGCATTCGTCTCCTTGCTGCTCTCCCCGTTCGCTGTCTTGTGGCCTTCCAACGGCTGCTCGAATGCATTGCTTCTCTCCAAAGCTGCTGCGCTGGCGTTCTGTTGAAAGTATCTCAGATTGTTGGGCTTGATGTGAACTCGAGGCAAATTGCTATAGCTTTGACTAATTTTATTGGTATGCGCAACGGTCGTTGCTTCGGTCTTTTTTTCATGAGGTATGACATCGGCATCTTGTTCTGAAGGCACGTCGCTGTCTTTAATTGGATCTTGCGACACCACAAGCGTCTCTTGCTGTGTCGCTTCTATAGGAATTAAGGTATCCGTACTAGTATCGATTTGGCCACCACTCTGACACAGAGTCTGGCTCTTATCACTAAAGCTTTCACAGATGGAGGGAGCATAGTCTAAATATTCGAAAATTTCAATTAATCATTAATAGATAAGGCAACTGACTTTTAGCTAATTAACAAACCGTTTGGGGAATCACAAGGGGTATGTATTGCTAAGTCAATGGGCTTGGAGTCCATGCGCTGAATGGTGATCTTGCCATTTATGGATGCAGAACCCTCGCTCAATCTATCACGTTGAACTGCTGTAGTGCTTTGGTCATTGTTTTTGAATTCAGTTAACAATTTGGCGGAACCGTTTTGTGCATGCTCCGCCAGCTTTGGACTATCAACTGAATCGCTGTCCAATTTGACATCTGATTTCGCATCGATTATGCATTCCTTTGGCTCCAGCCGAATGTCAAACATGGAATTGCTGCTCGCACTCAAATTGATTCCCTCCGTTACACTGCAAATATTGAACTTGATTAATGATTGCTCAGCAATATTATATCGGATATATATGTACATTGGATCCACGGTCAGATTGGGATCACTTGATCTTCTCGATATCGTACTCTGTGACAGCTCATTTGTTGCGATGTTTTCTGTCGAACGAGTTTTCACTGTCGCTCCTAAAATAAACAAATATATATCAACTTTAAGCATAATAATATTCAGACATTGTCTCCATATACCATTCACGCTGTGAACACTTTGCCGTTCATTGCTTTGTAAGGGAAGATCGGTGCCGTTTTTATTGCCCAAATTGCCAAGATATACATCGGACCAGAAGTGCAAATAGCGCACATTGTGCGCCGGCCAAAGTACCTGAAATGAACGAATTGGAAACTCAAGCGATTCGATAATTAATTGCAGTTGAATTCACCTTTTCAGTCTCGTGTTTATAGAGCGGATTTCTATACATCGTTTCGGCTAAGAATGGCCAGACAGAGAATGTTCGGTCGAATACCGAATTCTCAATTCGTTCTTTCAGTGAGTTGCATAGGAACGTGCCAAACAGACATGACAGTGAGTGCTGGGCGAGTTTTATCTGAAAATATGAATTATAGCTCAATTAGTCAATGGCTCGTTCATAGCAAATCCAATCTGCTTACCAAATAACCCGTGCTGAACTCAAAGCTGCACGGATATTGCTTGTGTATTTGGTGCACCAGGTCGAGCCACTGCAGAAACACTGGACAACGTTCATTCACCTCATCCGAATTGGGACCATTACCGGATCGATCCGCAAACTTGTGCCCGAAATTTAGCCATTCACGCTCCACCAGAACACGGAAACCCTAGAATTATAGACATTTAATGTAACCATTGGGGGATCTATTAATGTTTCAACCTACTTCAACTGTTCTATAAAATGGATCCAGGCAAAGTTGGGCCGTTGCCACAATTTGGGGCGTGCGATCCCAGCCATCGGAGCAGTGCACCAGAACTGGACGACCATTCTTCTCAATCGTATGCACGACAGTCATTGTGGCGCCCAACAGACCCGACAGATGTTGCATCCACATCGTTTTCTCCAATTGCCCAAACCAACTGTCAAGTAGAAGTTTATTAAGTACACATTGCTATAATCTATGTATAGATAATTACTTAGGATCGTCGGGTGAAGATGCACATAGCTGGCGAACGGCATGAAAACTCTTTCGTATGGCATGTATGTTGCCCAGATTCATGAATTCGATTTCGGCGCATGGATAGTATTCAATACATTCGCAGCCGCCGCCGCGTGCCCGATTTGTGACCGCCGACGTATAGCTGCGTGCATCGACGATAAGAATTTTCTAAAAATATAATTGAAAGTGCTGATTAATGGTTGATTATGTGGCATTAACAATATATATATATATATATACATATGTATTTCTTGTTCTTCACTTGGGATGACACGATGGTGAAATTCAACTTAAGCTTACCCTGATTTCATCTAAGGCAAGCTCCTCGTGTGAGGAATCCTCCAGTGAGGGAGAGCTCTTGCCCGAGGATCCAGCCTCTCCATTGGCATCCTTGGCCTGTCGTCGCGCATGCTCACCTCGATCGAAGGCACAGGCATCAGCAAGCGCTTTCAGCAGCTGCTCATCCTTGTAGTTTCGCCAGCCCAGCCAGCCGACCTCCGGCTGACTGCATCGGGCCAGAATTGCGCCAGATTTCTGATGGCGCCAGACGACGGCCGGCAATCGTCGCGATCCCCGAAAATTGGCAACATTGTGGAGCATTTCGTCGGTAATGCAACACGGAACAAGTAGCTTTTGCGGATACGATGGACAGAGCTTGAAGTCAGCATTCGCCGTCGAGATGCGCCACGATCCCTTCAAATCGAATCCCAGCCGTGCAACCTCATTCTTGAAGTCGCTCTCATACCGGATTTCCCGCTGTAAGCGATGTAAATGTTCGCTTGCCATCTGCAGACTTGAACTATCAGGCGCTGGTGTTGATTTGTTGAAGCTGAAGTTGCCGTTGCCGTTGCTGTTACCGTTGGTTAGAGCGGCACGCTCCTTGTTCCCAATAATGTCGCATGTCCAGGAGTAAAATGGAAATGCGAACATTGTCTCAAGCGTTTCGGGCACACCAATTAGCAGCTGAATGCGGCGCTGCCACTCCAGGCACTGCTCCGCCGTGGGAAACGAACAGCGGACGGTGCTGGCATCTTTGCAATTGACAATCAACTGGAAGGGATCACGCACCTGCACCGACTCAATCAATCCGAGCGGCACATAAGTTTCATTCGTTGATTTCTTTGAGAGGCATATGCGGTAATTGGACAAAGCTAGGACACCATCGTCGGTGCGGCCCAGGTATTTGGTTGACTCGCCGGAAACTATTGTATCGGAAATTCAATATTATTTATTCATGTATCAATAATATATATTTAATCAACTTACGCTCTTGAAAGGGAACCGACAGCTGCGAGTCTTCCTTCTCCATTTGTGATTTTGGATATGATTCCGCGGCTCGAATGAAACAAATCGATGGGGGCGGCGATCCATCTGACATCATGTGTTGCGACTGCAATAAAAGATTCAATTAGTGCACAAACACAATCACGCCCCACACAAATGCAAACAGTCACAAGCATGCATATGTATGTGTTTAAGACTCATAAGACATATGAATATACATATAGAGCGCGAGTTCGAACACCTGAGATCCTCTCAGGGTTACTATTTAAATTAATTGTTGTAGCGCAACAATGGAAAAATTTCGTACATAAATTGTTTATGCGTTTATGACACCAGTTAAACAGGACGTMGCATACATATAAACATGCATCTATATATATACACACGCACACACAATTGTACATACATACGTATGGACATACATACATATATATATATCTCGAAACGAGAACTCAAGGCAAAGCAATTAAATGCAAAATGTTTCAAACATCCAAACACCTTATTAGCAGTTATACTAGATATGAACAAATACAATTTTTTGTGTGTGGTGGTTGCCAGTGTAGATAATAAGTATATATGTAGGTACGCATATATACATACATACATATGTACTTTTGTACAAATGCACACATACATTTTAATACAATTGCGTATAATACGCAGCGTTCTATTATGCACATACATGCATATATATGTATGTATATGTGCATTGCATATTGGTGAACTTTATTTTAACAATATTATTTGGATTTTCGCTGAGTCCTTGCCGTTGCACATATGCCAAGCAAAAAAAAAAAAAAAAAAAGGAAAAAAAATAAATAAATATGTTTTATAAACAAAGTAATTAGGCACCAGCACACAAACACTTAAACCTGCGCTTGAGTATACATACATATATGTATGCGATTCCACAATATTTATAAAACAAAAACACCAAAACAAACATACAAACATACATACATTGCTGCGATGAACACCTTCAGATAACAATTGTGGTTAGTTTCCTGATATTTGCACTAAAATCAAATGACCCGTATTGCGGTTTTCCTCTTTATTTAGCACCATAAACTCCATAAACGTCAGCTATTATAAACAAAGATTCGCAGATATTGTTGCTTATACATATGTCGATGTACAATAATTCACATACATATAAATAGGTATTCGTTAACAAACCGACTACTTCTGTCACTTACAAAAATCGAATACTTTTTAATCGTTATCGAACTGACTTTGACAGTTTGAATTGGCTGCCCCAACTCTAAATTTGTCTCCCAATTGGGTTTTCTATGTCAATAAGATTATTAAAATTATCAATTAATTTTATATTAAT